TATTATTAAACTTAAATTAAATTATAATAAAAAATAAATTAAAAAATTACATAAAAAATAGGACTTTTAAATAGTTAATTTAATATTAATTTCGCCTATTTTTTAAAAAAATTATAATATTTCATTCAAAAATAAAAACATTTTGTTTTTTTTCTCAAAACCACATAAAATCGCATTATAACATCGATAGAGCCAAAATATAAAACGAAACATTAAAATCAAGATGTATCTTGTTGTATTGCGCTAGTACCATTCTAGTATATATATATATATATATATATATGTGTGTGTGTGTGTGTGTGTGTGTAGGGACTCATTTAAGGGATAACTGATTAGTTTGTACTTTGTGGTAACCGTGAAATCTAATGTGAAACACCTATTTGAGATATTTAAGGATATTTCTTAAATAAGTTAAAATGGTAATACAAAAATTCTGTTTTTTACAACTAATCAAAATATTTAATTAATTTTTTTAGAAAGAAATATATAATTAAAATTAGTTACCTAGTATATCAATTATTTAATATACATCGTATTTTAAAGACGTTTTTGAATCAAAATGTATAATAGTGATAACGTTCACAATGTTTCACGTGTATCGATATGTATTTTTTTTTTTTTTGTTCTATAAAATGTATCATAGTGTGCATTTTCGTTATTTTCATTATTTTACAAAGGGTATCACATTGGTACATCTTGTATGTATATTTGGGTATCACAGTGAATATCGTTTGTAGGTATCACAGTGTGTATCTTGCTTTCACATAAGTTTCATTGGAATAAGGTTCGCCGAATAAAATTCGACAGAGAGAGGAAAGAGAAGAGATGAGAGAGGAAAGAGGATATTTATAAAATCTTTAAAATGCCCTTAATTGATATTTTAAGTTAAAATTATTAATTTTGATTTGTGGTTGAGATTAGATCTCACTGTTACTACAAACAAAATAGTTCTCATTTGATTAGGCTTATATACATGTGTAAGTTCTTTTGTTAACCCAATTTATGGTATTAACTTTATAAACCCATAACAACCATTCATCTTGTGAATCAATGGATGACAATTATGATGACGATTTTGTAATAACTAAGAATATAATACATTATCATCTAAGATGAACAACATGAACAATGACATTATTGGAAAAAAAATTCATTAAGTTTGTAACTGGTCATTAATGACATTAATATTCATGTAACATTAATCTATTGTCATTAATAAAAAAAATCCCCATTTTTATGAACATTAACATACACATAGGCATCTTCTTCTATATGAACATGAGTTATTATGGACAATGTGACTATGTTCATTAATATGGACAATGTGACTATGTTCATTAATATGGACAATGTGATTATGTTCATAAATCTTATTGAACACCATATGGTTATAACACAATCTTATTAATGTCTTATGGTTATGAATACATTCTTATGAACATCATTAAATATCATAAAAGTAACTTACACATAAAAAATTGTAACATCTCGTTAAATACCATAAAAGTAACTTCCACATAAAAATTACCTATTTACCCTTCATAATTAAATCAAACATTTGAAGTAACCTCTACTAAAAAAATTAATACTATTGGTCCAATAAGTTTACAAAGTTAACACCATATTTTTGGTTAACAAACGATCTTACCTATATATATATGTATATATGTATATACACACACACACACACACACACACATATATATATATATATATATATATATATATATATACTAGAAAGGTACTCGCACAATGCAGCGAGATACATCATGAATTTAATATTTTATTTTATTATTTATCTTAGTCGATGTTATAATATGGTCTTACGTGATTTTAAAAAAAACGATAATGTTTTTATTTTTGAATAAAATATAAATTTGACAAAAATATATTGATATTAGTATTAAATTAACTATTTAAAATTCCTCATTTTTATGTAACTTTTTAATTTAATTTTTTTAATTATAATTTAGTTTAGGTTCAATAACGAAATAATTTATATATAGTTTAATAATATAATTTTCTTATAAAGATAATAATTAATTATTTTGTTAGTTATCGATAATTATCCTAATTATATTTTAGATTTTTTATATTTCAAAATGAGATATTTATCCTCTATTTGATTATGTTTATCCGCAGTTAGTTACACGAATTCAAACATGGAGCTTTAATAAGTTATACTTATGCATAATTTACTTGTAATCTTGAATTTTAAGTAATATGCATCAATATACAATATTTTATGCATAAAAAATGATTTTTAAGAGTTTTTGTCAAATGCTTTATAGTATAGATTATTTATGAATAAAAAAAGAGGATAAAATTTTTATAATAACATTTCACTTTGATTTTTATTGAGATGAAAATGATGTCTAGAAAAAGTAGAAAAATAATTACTTCTGTTATGAATATTCTAATGGTAAATATCACATCATTTTATTTTTTGTAAGTGTTAAGTATAAGAAATGTGACATGATAATAATTTGAGAAATTAACGTGAATAACTGTTTTATCTGTCTCAATTCACTTTTTAGCCAACTCTCTTACATACTCATCAAAAAGTCAATACCTTCTCAAATGTTGCATAAGGTATTTCAAAAAAATTAACCTTGAGCTTTTTCATACTTGAAGATCTAGGAGTGTTTTTCACCCCCTCACAAGTAATAGCCCTCTTGGTAATTCAATTCAATTCCAATTTCATGTTTGGTTTAAAGGATTGTTTGCATTTCAAATCCCGAGATTTCGGGGCTGTTTGTTTGGCTTTTAATGGTGACATTAAGAGCCAACCTCTTAATCGGTAAGAGGTAAGGAGTGTTTGGCAAAAAAAAATCAAGCCTCTTAATGGTTACATAACCCTCTTAACCATTTTGCATCCAAGGGTTCACTAAACCATTCAGACATCTATTTTTCCAAGTTTACCCTTCCCACCCCTTCTTCCCAACCCCTCTCCTCACGCACGTCGCCATCGTCGGTCGCCATCGCCATCGCCGGTCACCTCCACAGCTTCGCTGGTTGTCGCCGGTCACCTCCACAGCTTCGTCGGTCGACATCTCTGCATCTCTGTATCTTCACCTCCACCATCGCATCCCCCACGATCGTTCGTTCTTCTGTTCACCGTCTTTCCCTAACAAATCGAGTTGCAAACCCTATCGATCGAAAAAGGGGAGGAAAAAGGATCGAATAGCAAAAACCCTAACATCTCTGTTTTAGCCCCTGCTGTTTCTCCATCTCGATTGAGCCCTAACGGTGAAGGTAACACATCAAACATAAGAATTCTTGTTTGTTTTTTAGGTGTGCCTGATTTTTGGAAAGAGCAGAGGCAATCAAAAAAGGCAAACAATCATGTTTTGGTAGATGATGTTGAGGGAAACTGTTTATTGCAAATCTAGTTGGAAACTGTTTATTGTTTATTAATTTATGATTTTATTTGGAAACAAGTAATGTTAGGTTGGTTTGGATTAATATGAAATCTTGTTTTGAACAAGTATTGTTACGTTTGTTTGGATTAATATGAAATATGTAGTTATATTTACAAAGTAATTGTTTTATTCAGATATCTGCCAAACAATTATATTTAATTCAGTACTAAATCATACAGAGGGTTAAAATGATAATTTGTTGTCATTCAGAAAACATTTACCAAACAACCATATTTCATTCAGCACTTAACCATTCTGACCCTCTTAACCATTCTGCACAAAACCATTCAGCAACTGCCAAACAGCCCATTCATTAAAATCCCACGAACATGAGATTTAACAATTCAATGGGGGCCTTTAGTATTTTGCGAAATTTCATAGGATTTGTGTGTAATAATGTTTTAAATTCGTTGAAAACATTGTTTTACAATAAGCCATTAATAAAAGGATAATTAAATTATTTTTATAATTATTTCTAATTTGTTTTATAAATTATTTATTAAAAATGGAATCAATGTCATTTTAAATCCTATAAATCAAACGCACCAAATATTTCAAATCCTTCCAACCCCTCCCCCTAAATTCCAAATTCTTTCATGAAATCCAAATCTCTCAAAATCATTCTATCAAACCAAACGGTCCCTAAATGTTTTGAAGATATAAATAATATTTTATGAGTTGTATTGAATATTTTAATAATACTAGAAGCGTACTCGCGCAATGCAGCGAGATGCATCGTGATTTTAATATTTCATTTTATTTTTTATCTCAGTCGATGTTATA